ACCTGGCGACGTCCAGGTGAGACCTGGCGACGACCAAGAGACACGTGGCGACGACCAAGTGACACCTGGCGACGTCCAGGTGAGACCTGGCGACGTCCAAGAGACACCTGGCGATGTCCAGGTGAGACCTGGCGACGTCCAAGAGACACCTGGTGACGTCCAGGGGACACCTGGCGTAGGGGAACGGGGAGAAATCAAATTGGGACAAGCACTGAACTTTGTGAATTGATTTGAGGCCCTTCCTACTTCCCCTCTTCCCTTTTCTTATTTTTTTTTAAACTTCCGGAAATGTTGTCATTCTAGAGAACTTCTTTGCCCGTGCCAGGCCCTTGAATTCAGTGTAGTAATAATTCCAGACGTTTGCCCCGTGTGTGTGCGGAGGGGCCTTACGCTGCTACTCTGTCTAAATACATGTTATCCCGTGATATTTTTTTTAATAATTGAGAGCTCTATTTATTTATTGGATTATTACGTTCTGATGAAAATATAAGTGTTGACATAATCAGTATAGTAAACTGATGTTTTAAAATTCCATATTTGATGCCCACCACGGATATTTAGTGTTATTTTCAGCGATGACTAATTCTCACTTGATAAAGAATAGTAACTTACTAGAAAGAAGCTCTTTTTCAAGAATGCTGGTGGGTTCAGTTGTCCTCTTCTGCCCAGGAGTCCTCACTCATGTCTTTTTCTGGGTACAGAAGTAGAAGGGAGGGGAGTGACAGAAAAGAACAAAGCATATAAGTTGGCAGTAGACTTTTTAAAATTAAGCATATAAAAGCGTGTTTTACAGAAACGTTTTCTAATGACATTTTAATAGGAAATCTCATAAGTTATGCAAATATCACTGCTGTACAGAAAATCATAATTTCTCTTTTTTCCCCTGGGAAAGTGCGTTTTCTCGGGGACAGACCTCTAGTGAGGTGGGACAGTGCCTCGCAGCCATCAGCTCTTGGAGCCACTGCAGAAGGAAAAGTTTTTCCAAGTTACAAAGAGTAAGGAGGCCCTGGATGTGAGCAGCCCAGCCCGGCACACAAACTCCCAACAGTTGATACACTTTCAAACGCCCACTTGTGCCTCGGTTGTGAGATCAGCAGCCACGGAGGAGCCTCTCCGCCATGCCCATCTTCTGCAGCCCCGCGTCCCTTGCTCAGGAAGGAAGCAGCCTCCTCCTTCAGCAGGTCCTTCCTACCCGCTCTCACCAAAGCAGGGTGCCGTGGGCCAGACAAGTGCCAGGGGCGCCAGGATGCAGGGCAGACCACCACGGAGCAGGTCCAGCTGCACCAGCTGGGCACGCTGCCCACAGACCCACTTGACTGAGGGTTAAGGACTTGCACGAGGAGATCAGGAGAGCTGCCTAGGTGAATGTGGCTGAACTCAGGCTTTGTGGAAGGGAGAATTGGGGCATGTGCTCTGCCTTTTGGGATGAAAACAGATGATCAAGATACTTAGTAGCAGATGTTTACTATTGCTGATTAACTAGGCAGCTGGATATAAGGTGGGGCAGTGGTGGGTTGAAAGGCTCAGAGGCCGAGGGAGAAACACCAACTTATTTTTTTAGGTCATTGCCTTCAGAGACATTTAACAATTATGTGGAATTTTTACAGCTCTGAGAATAAAAGGAACTGGTCAGCTCTTGATCGTTGCCTCAAGGACTCAGTGACATTTCTTGGATGGTGAGATCACATCTCCAGGCTTAAGTTCTCTGTTGTAGAAGACGGTGCACTGGGCCCTACCCCAACCTTGTTCCACACACTCACAGTGCCACATCTGTCTTCCCGCTGGACATCTGGACCCACACCTGGGGCCTCGGAGTCTCGGGAATGTGGCACTTTCCCTCTTCGTGTCCCTCTGCATTTAGCAAGAGTGTCATTACTAACACTCACTGCTAAGTAACACTCTGTGATTGGGTCTCTTACTCGCCCCCCCTCACACAGCCACCTTATGCACCTGAGTCCCATGTCCTGGATGAATATTCTCTCCCTCTCGCCTTCCTGTTCATCCTTCTGGCTAATCTTCCCAACAGCTCAAGACTAGGCTGTACTTTCCTGCATGCACTTCCCCAGCTCCTGGAGCCCTGGGATGCTTTCCTTGCGGTGGTATCCAAGGTCGTCCTTCAGGGTCTGACTTTACACTACATCAGTGTGGTCCTCTGTCCGCCCCTTCTCCAAGCACACCCTCTCTCGTAACTGAGACCACCAGCCTGCTCCTTATCCTTTAAATACAAGCCTTGTTCTCTGATGTGACTAAGCCTTTACACAGGCTGTCACTGCCTCCTGAAATCAGCCATTCCAACCTTCTCGGGTCAGTGTGTTGTCTCTTGTGTGTGGCCTTCACTATGAGAGCAGCGTATACTTGTTGATGATAAACTATTTGAACAGTGCAGGTAGGAGATCGTGAAAGGTTGCCTGTAACGCTGTGAAATCCCTCTTCCCTCCCCTTAGGTAACCCCTGCTAACACCTGGCTGTGCCAGATGGACTGCTCTGTGTGGACATGCCTTAGAAGGGCCTAGTGGTGCAGTGCTTAAGCACTAAGCTGCTAGCCAGAGCTTGGCCGTTCAGATCCACCCACCCTTCTGAAAGAGGAAGGTGGCAGTCTGCTCCTGTAAGGACTGGCAGTCTTGTGAGCCTGGGGGGGGGGGGTGGGGTGTGACAGTCCACCCTGGCCCTCAGGGCCTCTGCAGTACACTGGCAGGTCATTTTTGACCGCTTCCTTTCTTTCTGCCATATCTAATCCATCACCAAGTCTTACCGGTTTTGTCTTCTAGAATCTGTCTCCTTGGGCCATCTCCACTGCCACCCTGGCCCATGCCACCGTTGTTTCCCTTAGAGGTTTCTGAAGTGCACTCTTAACTCCCACCTGTCCGTGTCACACTCTCAGGTCCCCTGTTCACACATTGTCTGTAGGACAAGTGGGGAAAACCTAACCCCATGGCTAGTGAGTCACTTGTGAGTCGGCAGCCCTGCAGAGCAGGGTGTGAGCGCTCCCGGCGTGCTGCCAACCAAGGCTGTCGTCTCGGGAAGTGGGACTTTCTCCTGAAAAGAAGAGTTTGAAGAGCTAACCTTTGAGTTAGCACCCCAGTGCTTAATCCACTGTGGCAGCAAAGCTCCCTCAAAAACTAGAGGAGTCCTGAAGGGGCAGATGGAGCCGTCTAGCTCAGGGCTGAAGGCTTCCCCTGCCCCCATGGGTCTCATGGCGTCTAGCCATGTGCAGACTGCCCAGCAAGTCTGCCCTGTGCCCATCCTGACCGACTCAGTTTCTCTTTAGCCGGATTCCCATGCTCTGCTCTTTCAAGTCCAAGGCCCATGAAGCCCTTCCTTCCTATGAGCTTTTTCTAACTTGCAAATCAGCTCAAAACACTTATATGGATATTCAAATCTTTATTGTTCACATCTATAATTGTTGCTTGGTAGAATTTAAGGCCCTACTTCATGTAAGACATGCTCTTCCTACAGAGTATAGGGGTTGGGGGGGGGGTGACTGTATAACAATGAAAGAATTTTTTTTTCCCCAAAGAAAAAAGCAAAATGGGGTAGCGGGCAGGGAGGAAAATGTGCAACGATGAATGAATGGAAATCCAAGTTCTCTATATACTTAACATTAAAATCTCAACTAAAAGGCATGTTCATCAAAACATTTAAAAATTTTTTACTGTGATTTTGCTTGAAAGTGTAAAGAGTGGAAAAAAAAGTGTAAAGAGTGAATTGGATTTTCATTTTACAGTTCATACACATCTTCTTACTATGAGCTTTCTTTGTATTGATGTTGATTCTGCTTTGAGTTTGCAGCGCAGTTGATTTTGCACTGGGTCATCGGGCAGGTTTTGTTTGATGGCACGGCAGTCCCCGTGCTGTGACAGTGCCCTTCCCGGCTCCTCCGTGGGGTTCTCTTTGCCTTCATCCTTCTGCCCCTTCTTACCATCTGTTTAAATGCTTCCTTTTGAATGATTGAGTTTTCTCATGTGAGTTCTTTCCAGGTGTTACAGTTCACCTTCTAAGTCTATTGTTTTCTTGACATTTAAGCCACAGGAATGAGTTTGATTCCAGGCTCTCAGAAGATTATGGAGGTAAAGTCTATAACCTCAGGGGTTACACTGGTCTCTGAGGCCAGAAAGCCGGGTAATTTGGTGGTTTTGAGTTTTGTTCCACAGTTTTGGTCCCACTGGGTCCCGGCCCCTGTACGGTGGCCCCTTCGTCCTTTCTAGAAGGGTCAGCCGAGGCAGCCGGGCACCATCTACTTCTGGTCTCAGAGCTATGGAGCTTGACGTTTGCGTATTCTGGTTCTTGATGTTAACCACAGTCCCCACAGGTAACGGCAGCTTTCCGATTCCTCCCTGTCATCCCCGTTTCCGGTCTGCCTTTCCTGTCCGTTCCTACTTTCTGAGCTTTATCCCAGGACTAATCCTGCTCTTTAGATCTTGTATGGTTGATTGCAAAACACATTTTTTAGGGGATTAGTGTTGCTAATCCTTCAATTTTGTGCTCGAAGTTGCAAAGTAGAGACCAACATTTAGTTACAGTTTCTCATAATAAAACTCTTTAGTGTATTTTCCTTTTTTATGTTTGTTACAAACAAAGCAAATGGACGAGAGGAGAATAAATGTCCATAAATGGGAGGGCTCTGATGGTCTGGTGGTAAGGAGCTGTGCTGCCAACCCAAAGGCGTGAGGTTCAGATC